GTGAGTGAGTGAGTGAGAGAGAGAGTGATCGGAGAGAGAGTGAGTGTGAGAGAGAGAGAGTGTCCTTAATGTGTGTGTATGTGTTATGCACAGTCTGCTGTCATGCTACTGACAGGCTGCATTTCATACCTCATGCAAAAAAACTACTAACAGTAGTTCTCAATGGTATCAAAGAAGGAAAAGTTTACAGGAAACTCTGGACGAGCCAGAGGACAGAGGAGACACGGAGGCACGCAAGGAGGAGGAAAAAAAGAGAGAAAAAATAAATTTAGTTCAGCTGAAGGGAAACAGGAAATAACATTCCTAAAAATCCTACAAAGACGTTAGTGAAAGAGTTTCAGAGTGATTTCCAGCATCAGCAGTGAATGTTAGTTTAGAGATCTGCTGGGCCGGTGGACCCCGGGGGGTCACACGACGTTTCCAGCAAAGCTACCTTGTGTGGTGTTTCTGTCGTTGAGCAGCTTGGTCTGACTGTTGGGCAGGATCTTAATCTCAGGAGGATCTGGACTCTGGCCGACGCGAGACGCCATGAGAGCGTTCAAATACTGGAGACGTGTCACCTGCAACACATTCATAAAATGAATGGAGGGAAAGTGGTAGTTGAAGAGATCAGCGACAACTCGCGATATTCGACTTGAAATGAGTACATTTACACAATGTTTTAGCCCAATGTCCGCTGTGATCCACGAACGTGGCTCCAGCGGAGGATAACAGAGGACATCAAGGCTAGAAACATGGTGTAAATGAGGCCGCTTAGAGTCAAATGTGAATGTCAGGGCTTACGGACACTTGGATGACACCACAGGAGCAGTATGGAGGCATTTTATAGCTTTTTTCCTGTGGTTTTTTTAATGTTTGAAGAAGTTGTCCCCAGTTGTATTGGATTTGGCTGCAACGCTGTTTCCCCTCTGAGAAACGTACCAACAGAGCCGCACATGATATAACCACACAGTATTACACACCCGTATGAGCTGCAGGTCAGTGAGAGCTCGGACGGTGTAGTCAGGACAATAACTGGACGGGCTGGTGGCCTCTTCTGACTCAAAGGGATCCATGTGAGAGTGACGCTGTGCTGATACTGGAGACTGGTGCACTGTTATATCACACACATACATGTACAGAGTCAGCCCAAAATTTGCTACCACATCATCACACCCTCTGTATAGAACCTGTTATGAACACAGTAGATTACAACATCTCATCAGTGATTTTAATTGATCATGTGTAACAAGTCTTGACTGCATCAAAAACATTAAAATCCAAACTAAGATTGACAAAATGTTATTCTCTCATAACTCAACTGATATTGATCGACATATTTGTGATTTTAAAAATCTAAAAACAATACATCAGCTACTAGTAATTTATTTAACAGAAACAAAATACATTTTTTTCTTCAATTGGTACAACTAGCACGGTGTGATGCAGACGTCTTCCTGCAACTCCTGACCTCACCTGAAGATGGTAGCGTTAGAGCAGAAACGCCGTAGTAAGTAAACGCCCCGTTTTCAAACTTCAGCCCCTCTTTTCCGATCTCTACCTCCACACGGCCCTGAGAAAGAGATGGTGTCATTTTCATGTTCTTTTTTCAGGGCACTTCTTTAGATTCCCCTGTACATGAGTGTGATCACCACAGTCTAGTCCTGTGTTATCAGTTTTACAGCAGCTTTATCATGAAAATAATTACACAGACTCGTGTCAATGGATGGAAGGATGGTATTTTAAACATCGTCTCTTCCAAACTGAAATAAACCAGATCACATGAACTTGATGTTGGCTACAGGTTCAACTCTATAGGCAAAAACTGGACATTTTCCCCATCAAGCATTTGCAAGCAGCATGTAAACATAAGCAGATCTAATGTACTCTTTTAATGTACTTATGAGCACCCATAATTAATCTCAATGTAGTAAACCACAGTTAGTGAGCATTATAATAATAAAATACGTTTTCATAGGAGAAATTACAGTGGTCGACAAATACTGCAGTTTGACTTTTCTGAGAGGGCGCAGTGGGGCTCTCCTTAAAAATAATTTTAAGAGGGATGACGAGAAATATGGAGAGATGGCCTTAGAAATGAGACAGCTCTATAATACAGTAAAGTAAATATTAGAGACTGTTAAATGTTAAATATCATCAATATTAATTTTATCGTTTTCTCTCATGTTCTTTGAATCCTTCATTTTGATCAGTAATTTTCAAAATCCCTCGCTTGCTTCTGGATGCAGCCAATGAGAATTGCTTCCTCCCAGTCTGTGATTGGCTAATTTTGAGAGCGCACACGAGATGTTGAGAGAGCAGAGATGCTGTGAGCGAGTGCGGGTGCCTGCCAGCTCACAGGGCAGAGATTGAGTGAGCGTGGAGGCAGAGTTAAGCATGCACAGGACAAATTTGTGTTTGCTGAGATAAATATTTTCTGTTTCAAAATATAAAGTGTGTGCTTTCGAGAGGCCCACCGCGTGCTCGCAAGCAAAAGAGGACGTGTCCTGTACATGTACTCGAGCTCGTACCTGCAGCAGCAGGATGAAATAGTCCACCGGGTGGTTGCGGGTGTAGAGATAGTGGCCCGGGCTCAGCCGGTTGCTTGGGTCAAAGTGCACTTCCTGGTTGACGCTGGGGTGACGGAGAAGGTGGAACAAGACCTTCTCAGACATGCGTCCAGGGCTGAAGTGCTCCACCTCTGCCAGGGGTGGGGGGGGGGTCAAAGGTCAGAGACAGAATACAATCAAGTTGCCAGTTGGCTAGTGGTGGTTTTTTGAGAAAAACACTCTTGACCTCAAATCACTTTAATAACAGTTTCTCAGGTTAGGTGTCGAGTGTGTGTGTTTTGTCTGAGATAAGTAAAAAAAACCTCAGTCTGTAGAATTTAGTGACATCTAGAGGTGAACTTGCATGTTGCAGCAGAATACTACATTAAAAAGAAAACTCAAAAGGTTTAGGTTTGATCAGTTTGGACGACAGTAAAAAAAACATGGCAGCCTCCACAGAGAGGACCCCCCCCCTCCATGTAAATATAAAGTTTTTAAATATAAAGAGCTCATTCTATGGTAAAGAGAACAACAATTCATACAATTTAGATGAAACACACCAGTGAAAACATCACTTGGATTATTTTATATTCAATTTCTGCCAAAAATTCCTTTCACCTAAATCTTACACACTGGACCTTTAAACTAAAATGAAACTAAACTATTTGACTATGAAAGGAGCAGCTATGAACAGGGAGGACAGCAGATGTCTGCCTGAGGGCACATAACTGTCCAGAAAAGACCCTGATAATGTATAACAGCAACATAATCATTAGATGTGCTGTGTTAAACTGTGACTGAGGTTCATGGTCAATCTTTCCATGCAAGTAAATGTTCACAGATAAAACTCACAAACCTCTAGACAGGAAGCGGTGTGTAGCCAGCAGCAGCTGCGGCGAGGTGCGGATCTTGGGTTCTCCTTCGGGAGGCTTGAAAAGAGAAAACTCTTCGTGTGCACTGCGAGGCTCCAGAGGAATCTCCAGCTGAGGGAGAGGGCGCTTCACTTTCCTGTCCACTACAGGGGGAGGCAAAGGTGTCAAAATTCGAAACAAATATATCAGATGCTAAAGCAACAACTATGTTTGTGTAAACTTACAGTAGCCGTCAGATTCATCCAGGATCTCTGACTTGATGATTTCCTCGATGACGTCCTCCAGCGTGACCAATCCCAGGACCTCGTAGAAAGGATCTCCCTCCCCCTCGTTGTTCACTTTCTGGACGATGGCCATGTGAGAGTTGCCTGGTGTGAAGTGAATAGGTCAGTGGTCAAATCACAGAAACCTCCCCTGCAGTAAATTTAATTTCAAGAGATCATTTATCATTAAAGGATTCATCTGAATAAAGCAACATTTTCAACTAAACCTCTCGTCTGACCTTTAATTTTCTATTTCAAATCAGAAAGTGCTGGTCACTCTGGAGTAAAGGCGAATGGGTGGAGAGTGAGATGTGAAGCATTTACATGATTTAATCAATTTGCATCGAAAATTACACTAATTAAAGGAGTAAAACATGATGATACATGTAATTTATTAATGACATTTTATTGATTAAATGGGATTTAATACATCCAGGGTTTTCTGCCTCCGCCAACAAGTGCAGTTTCAGTGTATAACACTTTTTCCCAGACTAACATGAGGTCATTGTGACCTTTGACCACTGAAATCTAATCAGTTAATCTTTGATTTCGAGTGAACGATTGTGTCAAATTTGAAAGAAGTATCTTGAGACATTCTTAAAATAATGTCTTTCTCGAGGCAAAATGTGTTTTGTGAGGTCACGATGACTTTTGAGCTCCAGAATCAGGTTGAGTCAGAGTGAATGTTTGTACCAGATGTAATGATATTCCCAACATGTGGTCTCCATGACCTTGACCTTTGACCTTCGACTACAAGATTCAAATCAAATCATCCTTAATTCTAACTTAATATTTGTACTAATTTTTAAGAAATCCGCTCAACATGATTGTTTATCATGTTCACAAGAATGGGATGGACAACCCAAAAAGCTAAATGCCTGCTGCCACTTAGTGTCGCTGGCTCAGAGGCATAAGAAAGCACTCTGTGAATTTCCCAAAACTTGTCTAAGAATCATCAGGTTTTAAGTTTTTGTCAGAGGCTGATTTATCCAATGATAGCTGTCTGTACACCCATGGCTAAATTGCAAACAGGAACTGCTAATAGCTAATTTGGCATAGTTTTTATTTTGGTTGACATTGACAAAATATCGCCTGCCCATCCTCAGCAGCTGTTTTCAGATCAGGCAGTCTGGATTTGTCTTAATCAGTCTGGAATGGCCTGGATGGGTCTGGATAGGCTGACCTCATTGGGAATAGATTTGATTAGAACTATTTTCTATCAAAGAAAATCCTCTTTGACAAGACATGAACAGCTTCATCTTGTTCCAGAGCCCTCTGACAGCTGTTCTCAGACTTAAGAAGCACGTATATATTAATATGTAGATAAGTTAACAGCACTGAAAATGATCTGCAAAGATTGTTGCTGCCGAGTTTCTGTCTGCATTGGAAAAAGTTATAATTCGCACACACTCTATTCAGCTCAATGTATTGAATCTCATGAAAGTAAAAGCCTGGACACATAGGACTAGATACAACTAGAGGTAACTGATGTGAGATACAACAGTAAAGGTGAAGAGTTGATTACAGTTTGATACGTTGCGATATTATCATTTCATATATGTTGAATTCTGCTGGTGGTTAAATATGAATTAAATCAAAATAAATCCATATTGCGTACCCTGTACATGTGCTGTATATAGCCCATTCAGGTAATGTTAACTATATGTTAATCTATGTCAAAGGTTGCAAAAGTTACAACATAACTGCATCTGACTTCTAAAGCTGCTTTAAGAAGCAGCTTAAGAAGATTTCCGTGTTGTTATGAGTCAGAGCAGAGAAGCTCTTGCTGCGTTGTTCATGTGTGAACGGCGAACTGAAGAGAAAGTCCAGACCCAAATATGACATTCTGTGGATTCTGTTCCTGTCTGAAATCAGCTACAGCGACGTCTTTGCTACCATACGATTACAAATGAGAAAAAAAAAAGAAATCAATAATTCTGCTCTGACCATTCATCCTCAGCCTTGATCCACTGCAGCTCTGTCATTAACACCCAACCAGTGAGGCCCTCTAAGAGCACTGGATTTCCTTTTCTCTTTTCTTTCTCCCCATGGCAAATATTGTCAGTCTTTGCTTTTCTGCTCTCTCTACACACACTCTATGTCTTCCTTACGTCCTGTCACAAGGCTTAACCACTTGAAGACGCTATGGCTCACATCTGAGGTCATGTCCCTAACAAATGTACAAGGGATATTCACCATCTAGTTCAATTTTCTAAAAAATAACATTTTTTTGCAGCGTCATTTCTTGACTTTTTTGAGACATAATTATATGATGGCAAATTGTTTTCTGATCAACACAAGCTTTAGATTGTCTTGTCTATTATTTGCAGCGATATATTAGAAAATGTGTTTTTTGGACAATATTTTTGTTAATGTTGACCAATCGGTTCAAACCTACCTGAGTAATATTCCCAGCACACAAGGAGAATATGGCCAAATATTAACATAAAGAAGCCTCTACTATCACATCTGGTGTTTTTTCATAACACACTTCTCCCTCCTCCTCTTGCAAAAGCAGATATGAGCATGAGCACACCTTTCTTGAACTCCTCCAGCATGGCGTCCAGTTTGGTGTCATTAAAGACAAAGTGCAGCGGGTGATTGTAGAACTTTGTGATGGTCGTCATGGGGGTGCAGTCATCTGGGTCCACCAGGGCCAGATCTTTCACATACAGGATTTCCACAATGTTGGACCTGGAAAACCAAACACATGCTGATGGGTGGAAAGCCAAGTACACAACGCAAATGTCAACTGGGCCAAAGAAACTACATGTCATGTGTTGTCACTGAATGTGGAGCTGTACTTTTGTTTTTATATAAATGTTTTTATATGTAAATATCACAGGGCACCCAACCAACATGAACGTTTTATCAAACAATAACAGCTTCTGTATTTGTGACTAGTCAGTATAAGAAGTTCAAACATCAAATTGGCTCCGTGTTGTTCTGTCTTATGGCTGCAGTTATCCAGGCTCTTTAGCATATTTTCTACTTTTTATAGTTGCCAGTAATCATGTGATATATAGTATTTATTACTGTGACAATTTAAATTTAGAACAATGTTACATATAAGATAACATTGATGGCTTTGGAAACAAATATATTGTCGGTCAAAAAAGTACCTGCAAAAAATGGGACTTAAGGACTTGTTCAGTATAATTTATATATATGTTGAAATAAGCAAATCTTTATATAAGTAAAACAAGTGTTTACATATAATATATTGTGGAGAGTATTATAAATAGCAGAGGCTGAGTGCTCTCTACTGTACAAATGGCGATGACACCAATTCCTAAATGACCTTGAGCATATTTCTATGCATTATGTTGTATAAAAAGTATTTTGGACAATTCATATATATACAGTATATGCTGATACCTGTATATCTGTGACAGGACAGTCATGTACAATGGGAATCAAAAGAGATAAAACAACAAATATTTGAGCTGGCCACCTAAGAGTTAAATGAGGCCATTATCGACTGTTATCATCGACAAAACACAGGTTTCCTTTGTTAGGGACAACAAAGTTTTGACTAGTTCTTGTTGCTGTACCCACTTCTCTTCCTCGTAGATGGGCACCCTCGTGTATCCGCTCTGCATGATCTCAGACATGGTGGAGAAGTCCAGGACGGCCGAGCTGGGCAGCATGAAGCAGTCCTTCAGAGGAGTCAGAATGTCCTCCACCGTCTTAATGCGCAGCGTCCCACGGCTGAACTCCTCCTTCACAAACTCACTGCACAAACGAGACACAGGCACAGGACAAGTGTATTCAGGTATGAGACAGACATATTTTTTAAGCTATGAACGCACAAGAATATGGATGAAAATAGAAATTCCTGTCGTCAAAAAGCTTTAATGTGGTTCAAAATAAATATATACAGTATATATAGGGATATGTACTGTGTTTGTTTTAAGAGTTTAAAAAACAATGTCCAGACACTGCTCTGAATCCTGAAAATTGAGGGTGCATCACCAAAATTATATGATTACGTTAAATAATGCAAACAAACTGAAACTTAAAGAAAAGCTTTGATTGTTTTTATCATGAGAATATGGACAAAAATATCCAATAGGAAAGAATATAAAGGACATCACTGTGGTTGAGGTTCCTGGTGATGAAGTGTAAAATAAGAGAGAAGTGTTTAATTATATAAAATATTCTAGTTCTGAATAGAAATGTAAGTAAATAAGAGTTAAGGTGCACACATATACAGGATTATGATGAACTAGATTGCTTAGATATATAATATATAATGTAATATGCCTACTTACGTATACTACTTACTGGTAATATCACTTTTTTATTTTATTATTGCTCCCTTCATCTCTGTCAGACGTTTTCTTTCGTATATATATTTAAAACATTGATAAACACCTCCAGTTATGTTAGACAGTCAGTGTTGTAAATAATGTTATTTTGTTGATGTCATCTGTTACATGCCGCATGTGTTGCACTTCTCTCCGTCCTGGAAGAGGGATGATCCCTCTCATGTGGTTTTTATTTCCTCTGTTAATACGGTTTTGAAGGTAGTTTTGACTTACTCTTGTTGAGGGTTAAGGGTAGAGGATGTCACCTCTTTTTTTTCTACAGTGAGGCAAATAGTGATTTGTGAAAATAAAATTTGATTGAGACAAGAGAGATGTTGAGTCGTGCTGCATATAGTCTGGACCCTACATGTACAAGTGTGTGATCCTGTTTTACCTGTAAGGGTCATTGGTGCTTGTGCGAATCATCTCCATGGCCCTCTCCCTTATACCGCAGGTGCTGATGTCCCTCCTCAGCCCCAGGTCCAGGATCAGCCCCAGGGGGCAGGACAGAGGGCAGGTGAGCACCATACAAACCTGGGCCAGCCAGGTCAGACCCGGAGCCAGCTGGAAGCCATAACCGGAGCACACGATGTGAGGGCCCAGCTCGGCCAGGAAGAAGACGAGGAAGCCGCTGGTGAAGACTGCGGAGAGGATGGAGCCCAACGCCCGGTACAGGAGCACACCCAGCGCCGAGTGTCCCAGGGCGCACAGGAAGAGCAGGGAACACGTCTGCGACGGAGAGAGAATGGGAAAGAGGGATCAAGAAGCAGAACGGTATCCTCCTCCTCCCGTTTTCACACACTGAAACTTACCAGGAAGTTCCCCCTCCTCCTGATTGGCTCCAGGCGCTTGGCGGCCCGTTTCTCCTCCTCGGAGCCGCAGCTGTGGAGGACATAAAGCTCCACGGGGTCCAGCCACAGCAGGCTCAGGTTCACTGTCCTCAGCAGCCCGCACGCCAGGAGCAGCACCACCACTAGGACCGCCAGACCCCACGGCTGGATGTGTTCGGCGGGCAGACCCTTGTCGGTGATGACCCGCAGTCTGTCCGGGCCCACGGATACCCAGCTCCCTCCCCTCCGCACGCACAGGTTGTGGTAAGTCTGCTCTCCGACAGCTGCTCCCGCAGAGATGTTCCTCTTTGGCACCGCCACCTCCACCAGCCCGCTGGTGGAGTGCTCGTCCGGGATGAACTTCCCCGTCACCTGGAAAGCGGAATCTGTGCGGCGGGACTCCTGCCCGCACGGGTCGGGCGCATCCCCGACCGCCCCGGCGGCAGCTCCCCCAGCTGCCCCTGCAAACGCCACCCACGGCCAGCTTCCATTCAGATCAGCCCCGAAGAGACGGATCGTGAAACTGGCTCCTTCTGGCGCAGATATGATCCGATTCTTCATGCACACCGGGCCCGACGTGTCTTCCAGTCGCAGCCCCAGGACCAGCGGAGCTTCCTGGCCGCAGGCGCCGAACCTGATCCCGCAGAACAACAATACCATCAACAGGAACCGTAGACCTGCCAAGCTGGCCACCATATTGGAATTGGTCAGCCTGGCTCTGCGCGGATCATGTGACGCCGACCCCTGCAGTAGTCCCGCCCACCTGGAGAGAGGGGGGGTGTGCGCCAGCCAAACAAACTTGCAACTGAGCTGCGTTGGCGGCCATTTTGGCGCTGCTAACGTCCGTGCTGCAGCGGGCCTCACGTCCATTTCGGTGCTCGATTCTGAATGTTTTCGGTTTTTTTTTTTTCCCCGCACCGCCTCTCATCAGAGGCAGCGAATCAGAGCCAGTGTTTGTCCGCAGCCAATGAAAGACGGCGAAACACGCGCATCTCTGTTGTGTTTCTCCATAACAAGTCATTCATCAACCTGGTCCTCTCTGCCAGAGGGAAGTGACCTGCAACAGACCGTGCTCACTGCTGGAGATTATTCCTCCTCAGTGGCTGCGACTTTATCTCCCACTCCTTGGCAAAAGCAATTCCAAAGTTCAACCACAGCCTGCCTGGGTCCGTCAGTCTTTGGAAACGCTACACTTTGAGTTAATGTTACAGCAGCGGAGCAATGAGTGACCCTGAAAACAGGAGGGGGGGATTTGTACACGAAGCACCAGGAGGATTCCCACTCCATCCCTCTGAAGGCCCAGTCACACCAGGAAGTGTTCCGCAAGGTTCATTCATGTGAGAAGTGAAAAGTATGCGTGTGGTGCAGTTAATATAATGACGAACAATATCACCTACTCCCCCTGATGTGTTCCTCCAAGCTCCAGCCTGATAGAACATATTTCCACATAACTATTGTGATTGCAACGTTTCATTTAATTTCAAATGTTGGCCCTGGGCTCAAATCAGACTGCTGTCACCTGATGTTACCCTTTGTTGTGTATTTTGTCCCCCGTTTCTCATACATCGTTTCATGAGATTACAGGGATGGACGACTCCGTCAATGTGCACATGGACATAGACATGAGGAATCCCATAACATGAGCTGCACCTTTAGGGCAATGCAGTCTGAAGTGGTCTGAGGTCATGAAATCAATCTGGTGTGCATGTTCTTAATATTACCAATAATAATAATATGTTAAATCAGTAGTTTTATCTCTGCAGTCCGAGGAGTAGTGCAGGATTGTGTAACCAGCTTCCTTTTGATAATAGAACCGTCTCCACCCTCATGCCATGTAATCATCCGTCATGTCAGTTAGAAGTGAAACAAGCATGGCGGTTTCTCCGGAATCAAAAGCACACAAGGCTGAAAACCAATCCAGCCGAGATAAACCACAGAAAACTTTGCATATCAATCAAGGAGACAGATTTTCTGTAGAGAAATATATCTCAGGTTTATTAACCCCATAGATTTCTTCAAATGCCTTACAGTAGTTATAAAATAGTTTGTACACATTGCTTTAAGTTACACAGTCCGTGTTTGGAAGTGCTCCTCCTCCTCTGCTCCACCATTACAATAAAAGACAAAAAAAATCACAGCAAGTCAAGTCAAACATGTTGCAGCAGTATTCGATTATCATCTACTGTATATACCCTGGAGAAATGAAAAAGGTCATTTCATTTCTCTTCAGTATGGAGAGTTTATGAATCAACTGCCTTGATTTGAAGTATTATTGTAATGGTTACCAATGGTTATTTATCTGCATTGCAACTCAAATCTGGAAAAATACTGCCTCAATATCTCAGTGTGCAAAGAAATCCAAACCTATAAAGGTTTGTTTTATATAAAAATGGATGATAATAGATGAAAGAGCATGTTTTGGTTCACTCTTCTTCCCCTTGTTTCTGCATCGCTCCACATGCTTAAAACCTCAAGTGGTTCACTTGTGAATGATACACAGTGTGGAAAAAAATCACTGGCCTGAGAGACTGCGCCAGAAAATATTTAACCTTCATGCAGGTCTAATCATCACACTGCTGCAGGACTAAAAAACAACACTCCAGAAGCTGCTGATAAGTCCTGCCCCCCTCCAGTCCCACTACAAAGAAAACAGCTTAACAGATTGGACCAGTAGTCCAACCTGGAGGAATTTCAATACTTCTGAACAGCAGGAATGAAGTCAAGAGCAGTGCAGGGTGAAAAAAAAGTGACTAGAGGCAAAAGGATTAATGGGAGGGGAGAAGAAAAAGGGAGGGAGATAAAGGATAGCAATGGATGACAGGAAATGGGGGAGGAAGGGAAAGGAGAGGAGCAAGGATTTTGGCTACAAAAGAAGCTTTGGTTGACACGTCTAATGAAGAATAAAATAGAAGCAAGCTACAGAAGATAGGAGGAGCAAATTATTTGAGGTCAACTCTGTGCAACGTTTATTGCTATGTAATGCCTTCCTAGTAAAACAACAGGAATAAAACTTAAAATAACACCATCTCTTATTGTAAATAGAGCTATTTTCATCTCTCTCAGCATCACACAAATGCCCATGTACAGAGTATTTACAGAAATATAACAGCAATCAGAAAACTGAACACAGTGTTTCAGGGTAAAGTGACCCAATAAAAGCTGTGAGAAACAGCTGGAAGCCCGTTTCACAGAACCACACCCTCAGGTGTGCATCTATAACAAACAAAAAAAAGAAGAAGCAAACAATAAATAAAACGTTAACAACAAATTACTAAGAACAATTGATTTCACATTTCCCACAGCCAACCAGTGGCTTCACTGGAAACCAGCACAGGACCAATTGCTACACAAGACCTATATGAACCAGCAGGCAGGTCTATATTTTCAAGAAATACACAGTAAGGCTATGTCGACTGTGTATTTGCAATAAAATCTATGGTGTTCACAATCTTCTCCGTGGCCGGATTCATCTGGGACAGGGCCCCAGGGTAAAAATGAGCTTCTGGGCCTCCATCACATCCCCCATTTTCTCCCATTCCTTTGTACTGTATGTGGAATTCTGTGGTATGCTAGGAGCTCCGCCTAGTTCACTCCATAAAGCTCTAATCAGTTTAACAATTTGTGACATTTGGGCACAGTGAGATCCTTTTTGAGATAAAATCTTACACTAAGAAAATAAACCTTTGTGCCCTTAAGAGTTGATTTGGGGCTTTAATGGTGCATATACTTCCTCTTTTATTCTAATATATAATTTGAAATATAAATGACTACACAGCAGATGACACAGTGAACACTGTGGCTCTTGGGGTTTTTAATCCGGCCTTGTTCATCTCACTCCACAAACCATCCCTCAGAAAAGAAAAAAAGAAATGCTTTGGAATATTCTCTTTTTTCAGACTTATGCTACATAACCAACAAGTTTAAAGTGTTTTCAAATCAGTGCTAGCTTATACATCAGGTTTGTCCATTTGTATCTTTTCAAATAAATATCCTCTACTATATCATCAACAAAATAGTTTCACTTAAATTGTTTCAGTATCACTGCATACATAGGAAAAATATAGGTAGATTACATGCTAGCAGCTTAAACATCTCAGTTCAGCCCGTCACCCGCACAAGAGAGTGAGGAGTGAGCTGCTTCAGTCGTCCTCATGTTAATCTCTTCATATCTGCGTCATCAGTCCACTGGAACACAACCAAATGTCCTCAAAACACAGGTTGAATAGGTGCAATATCATTTACACACAGATTTAAATGTCATTCACAATGGGTTAAGTGCCATGTATGTGAAATAATCCCTTGTTTGGAATGTAATGATGCACTCGCACACACACACACAGCACATGGAAATTGTGAAAAATGCTGTCAATACAGGCGGTTTGCAGACTACATCTGTTCCCCGGTAAAGATATGGTCCACATCACTGGGGTGAATCAGACATGCTGTGGAATGTTTGCTGTCCATCAAAATCTTGATCTCGTGCTGTAAGTGTTCTCAAGACTCAACCCTTAACCCTGGATTTAACTCAAGGTGAATAAACACATGTGCCTCCCTGCTTTCTGGCTGAGAGTTAGGTGAGATGATTGATGCCGCTCTCACATCTGTCCAAGAAGCCACATGACTTTTCAAAAGCCTTCACACAGCTCACTGATTAATATATTACATCTTTTCTGTTTGATCTGCAGCGTAAAACCGAAAAGTTGTGGAAGTTGTCTTCATGAAAAGCAGTGACACATAACCACCAGTTATAAAGGTATCATTTCCTTATGAGTGAGCAGTAGACATTCATTTTAGTGGGTTTTCCACTTTCTGACAGCAAGCCACTTCTCCTGCTCTATGCTAAGCTAACTAAGAGAGGTATTAATCTCCTCATCTATGATTTATTTTTGTCTGGGAAGTTTTTAGCTAATATTTCAAGCCCATTTTTTCCACTAGCATTCAGTGAGTTCATCCAAGGAAATATTGTTTAGTTAGTTATGTTGAACAATAAGCATTTGTGACTTTCTAAAATAAAACGTATTCAAAACCTTACTTAAAGGAGTAGTTCAACACATTATGAAACCTGTTTACTTTGCTTTCTTGGCTCCCAGGGTTTCAGTAAATATGAAGTAAGAGCCAGAGGTTAAAGCCAGGTTATATCCACTTTTTGACGTTGTATAGGGTATAAAATGACTTTTTGAAGAAGAAATCGTTCTCACTCATAACTGTCCATAAAACCAAAACATTGGGCATGCTAACTTCAGTAATCAGAATATGAGGCAGCTCTTGGCAAGTGAAATAATCACATAGTTTCTGCTAAATAAGACTGGTCGTAACATCTGCTAACGTTAACATCGATGTAGCAACGGCATAAACATAGAGCACCTTTACAACATGTTGAATAGCGAGCCTAAGATGTGCTGTAGGAATTATTCTGACCTTTGTGATGCAAGCTGGCTGTTTCCCTTCTGTTTCCAGTGTCTATGCTAAGCTCAGCTAACATCAGATGTGTGAGTAACATACATTTTCTCATCTAGCTCTCAACAAAAAGCAAACAACTGTATTTTCCAAAATTATTATTTCTTGAAAAACAACTTATTCATTGTATAAAACTATTAGAAAATATAACTGAACCAAAAACAAAAAAAAAAGGTTTGACTCGCAGCTGCAGCCTTCCTTAGGATTCAAACAGTCCAGAGGCTCTTAGAGAAAGAGCTTGGTCGGGTCTTAGTTACAGTATGTAAGTATATCAGACTCAGACTCTTGAAATGTCATCATTAAACTTGCACGACAGATGGCATTAAACTGAGAGGCCACCCAACTGCGCTGTGAACATACTTTCCACTCATAACTGTGGGCATAGAACTACTGGGATATTTGGTCTTCAAGTCACGTGTCCCCTCTTTTTCAACCCAAACTGGGTGCTCAGAGATCCTTTATATTTACAACAAAGAGTTGTGACATACATGAAATGCACAGCAGCAGATGTCAGGTCCAGTTTGGTCAGTCGTTCACCAAGCTCCATTCACAGTGAGGAATATTTAGTGGAAAACGTTCATACTGAAGAGTCTGTGCAGTTTTTGTCATATTCTGTATGCAGTGTGTTCATTATTCAGTCTGCAGTGTTTTCATGAACCAAAAAAGGCAAATAAATCAATCAAATCTAAACTATAATATGAAACAACAAATGAACGTCAAATACATATAAATAAATATTCAGCAAAAATAAATATCTTAAATTAAAATCACTCTCGGAAATTGAACAATTTAAAACATATTGCCATAGTTGGGAGGTGGGTCAGAAACACACCCACCTTCACAGCACTGGTCATTCACACCAGGCTGTTACGGCTCTGCCTAATAAACACAGGCTCAACTCCACAGAATACACTCAGTCAAACAGGTGATCTATAAAAACAATCTCACTTGCTGACGATAAAACCTTCACTGTTAACGTCACAGCTTTGTGGAAGTTTCACTCTTTGGAAAAATAAAATGAAATTTAGAGACAAACTTCTCTTAAGAGTAAATAATATATCAAGGTTGAGGGATCAGCCTTGATCTGGACACACCAGGTGGGAATGTACGTTCTCTGTTAGTGTCTTACTGGTGATGACTTAAAGGGTCAGTTCACACAAATTCCAAAAAACACTGAGATCTAAACTGAGGGGCTAACAAGAATGATCAATTATGTGTTTTGCCTTTTATAATCTCCCACAGCCAAAAGTATTGCCTTTAATGTCTTATTTGTTTGACTAATGGCTCAGAACCAAATATTATAAAAGAATACTTTTGAGAAACTGGAAACAGCTAAAGTTTGTAATTTGTGTGGATGTAAGCTAAAGGGAGCAGCACCCCCTGGTGCACTGGTAGATAACTCAGCAGAAAACTAAATCAGCATAATTAAATAAATGTTTTTCTGCCCTGCAACTGATTCAGCTGGAAAACACTGAGTGCACAGAAGTCGTGAGCAGAAATGGAATTAAAATCAATAAACTGGATTATAAGATATTTGTTTTGTTATTTTTGGAACATAAAGAAAATCCACTCATTGGAACCAAAAGTCAAGATTATTGAGTAACAGGGATCTAAACTGGAGATACAACATGTTTAGCAACACGTGAACAATATTTAGTAGTGACATCAATGTAAATGTTTAGCTTTCTCTGTTGCGATCTGTCAGATTCTCAAATTTGAAGATTACAGTGAAATTGATTCATTACTGCAGCTCCACTTGTATGAGCTCAGGGTTTGAGGCATCACTCAAACTACAATAAAGCGCAATGGAAATGTGTTTGTGCTGCTCTCATAACGTTGAAAAATTACACAATTTGGGTGAACTGACCTTCGAAACAGACACACACGCACACACACACACACACAGCTCCGTCTATATTAACTCACTAGTGTTCCCTGTTCCTCTGCCCTCTTTGTTCTCTGTTCTTGATGTTCTTCAGTGTCCGGGGGTGGGGGGGGGCATGCAAGAGGGGATAAAGGAGGATCTCTGTTTACAAAATACACATGATGATCCTCAGCTTCCCTCTGACGTCTACAGAAAAGTTCAGGCAACAACAAGCAAACAGGAACAAGTAGTAGTGCCAATGTGTGTCATGTGAGAGCACAGGTAGTTTGGTTTCCCCGCGGGGAGCTCAGTTAGATGGTGCTTTCAGTCTGTGTATGACTGATGGTGTGAACGTGTGGGTAGGGGTGTGCCTGGTTATGGCTGGGCCTGCGGGGGCCCACACAGTTCTGCTGCTCGCTGAGCAGAGTGGTGGTCTCTCCCGGCCCGTTCTCTGGTCCAGCAGAGGGCGGCGACTGCTGGGGCTTGGATGGCAGATTTGGGTGGGGGTTGAGGGTGAACGACGCCGTACTCACGGAGGACAGGGGGGTTTGGGAGAGGGAGGTGTGGTTGCTCTGAGGGGGAGTGGCTTGGGGCAAGGCCTGGCTTGGCCTGCGGCTGGAGGAGGAGGACGAGGTGGTCTGATGCAGAGCGGCGCGGCTGCCCGGTGGCGTCAGCTGCTTGTTTGAGGGTGGCCGCTTTACCGGGGGCGTGGCCAGTGGCAGTGGTGTGCGTGTCCCCGGTGGCGTGATAGGGGGCAAAGAGATGGACGTGTCCAGACGAGTGTGACTGCCCTCTGGAGACTGCGGCGTGCTGTCGAGCCTGGATGCCAGGAGACCGTTCTGGTATTGAGCACGAGTGATCTGCAGGGGAAAATACACGAGCGATCACACAAGCAGCAATGCTGAAGACAGAGAGTGGGAATCGTTTGTGAGCTGCATATAAAGAATGGACAGAAATGTGCCTGTTACCTGATCTCTCTAAAATAATTCAAACACTAGAATGATTAGACTGCATCTATATTAGTGCCTAATAAACTAAATCAACTGTTCTTATATATACAGAATGATGTGATGATGACAGAATAATGATTTGTTAATTAATAATTAGTTGTTAAAAACTGGAATGCATTTTGATTTTGATAGACGGTGTCCCAACAGTCTCCATTATACTGCTCACACAGGAGGAGAGACCAGTGACTGAGAAGGACAACATGAAAACTCCCTGAAGGGAGGCCAAAACATCTGGATCCCTCCCTGGTGGCGGCCTGCAGTATGGGTCCTAAACCCTGCCTCCTCCACTATGGTGCTTAATCTGGTGCCAAATGACATCACCAGCGTGAGATGGCAGTGCCGATATTTTGGCTTCCTCTTTGTACAGTGGGAGACAGTGGAGACACACCGACCATCTTTAGATCATTGGGAGGGACCAATTTTTTAAATATGAGCTGAAGCTTTCAGGTGGAAACCCCCCAAATGTTCGGAATAGTGGACAAAGACATTACAATCTGCCCCAACCAATTTAACTGACTCAATAACTTCAAAGTATCTGGCAACATCTCATTTACATTAATGGCACACGAGGAGGTTACTTAGTTGGATGATTGGAAATGATTTGCTTATCTGCATTTAAACTTTTAAACAACACTCCCACAGGAAACAAACAGATATTATAAGCAAAAATTATGATAATGCATAATGTTTATAATAATAAGCAGGAATGTGTGAACAGAGATGGTCATTAATGCAAAATAAACCACTCTTTTTCCTCTGACTGATACATAATGACACTGAGCTGGCATCAGTCAAAAAGGGACTTACCTTGACAAACTGCAGGTCAGTGAGAGCACGCACGCAGAAGTCTGGGATGTACTGGAAGGGGGTGCCTGGGATCTGGGTGTTGCTCCCACCGACAGAGACACTCTCTGGAGCGCGCTCAGTGCAGCTCAGTGACGCTGAGCGGTTGAGGTTGCCCCCGTGCGATGGAGATCGAAACTCTGGGATTGACAGAGAAGGGAGTGAGCAAGAGAGTGAAGATTCAAATAAAGAAAACATATAAAGGAAGCGGTACGAGCTCAACACACAGCAACTTAAGGAAAACAAACTAATTCTGAAAACTTCATTAAATTGACAACACATACTGAAAATACAACACAACCATTTGCAGACGGGCAACAAGAAGCACAGACAACAACGGAGGTGTTTCCAGGAGACACAAAACATGTTTCAGTGAATCAATAAATTCACAAATTGAGCAAAGACAGAGCTTTTCTTTGAATATAAAATATTAATATCCCACCAACGGTATTAATATTTAAATTGGCAGCAATTGAGCAATTGTGAGGTTGTCCAATGAATGAAAGTGAATGGAGCTAAACAGTTAAAATGGTTATTTACACCTGTTTCTTGACAAAAGAGCCAGATTTAACTTTGGCAAATAAAGTATAAATAATATACCAGAATTGAAATGAAATAGTACCAATGTCCTTTCATCCAAACCTTCCTCGATGGCACATTAGGAGTCTGAGGAATGTGAATGAAGTGAATGTCTATTGTTTCTACTTTTTATATTGAAAATAATCAAGACAATTGGCAGAAAATCTTGAAGTTGCGTCCCCTGAAAACACTTTGGTCATCTGTGCACGTTTCAGTATTTGGTTGTGTTGTTAGTATTTGCAGTGTATTTCTGTATTTGGTTGTGTTGTGTGTTTTTGCAGTGTGTTTCTGTGTATTGTTTCTGTGTTTTGTTGTGTTAGTATTTGCATGTGTTACATTGATGAAGTTTTCGGAATTTGCTTGTGTTCTGTCTATTTGTGTTTTCTTAAGTTGCAATACAGACACACACACACTTAAACATTAAAAAGGCAGACACCACATCGAGAGACAACAGAGAAACACAATGTTTAGAAACAAGATGACGTCAGTAAACAGGGAAAAGTGAAGGCAGACAACTGATGTTGACTTGTAGCGTGGACAGCAGTGACAGCAATACACACAATGAACACATACACACAATGAACACATACACGCAACGAACACATACACATAAAACATGTTAATGTCGGTGATGAGCATTGTGTGGATAGGAGTGTCTGTTATGGAAAGAATGCGACAAACATGCCATGCGATGAGACCCAGTGCCTCGTTTGAGCATTTCGTGACTACAACACGACTGACTAAGCTCAGAGGAGGAGCCCCTCTCATCGGCTGGTTTTAGTGATGTCATGGAGGGTGACGTAAGGGCAGGAAGGCCATCCCTGAAATCTGGCTCGGGGGGTT